AATATTTGGAAATTCGGGTTTACACAGATTTACAAAGGGCTACAAAACCAAGGACATGAATAATTGTTAGGCCTATATAATAATATATTGTTTACAAAATGTACCCCTAAAGTCTAAACAAATCATTTAAATAGAATTCATACCGTGACCTAATATAACATTACGTCTGTGTATTTTATACAAACATGAGCCAGTATTCATTTAGTCTAAGTCTAATCTGAAGACAAAACACGTGATATTTAATCAGATATTGGAGTGGAAAGTTGCACCTTTACACCCTACATCTGCTTGAATATTATCAAACACGTGCACGTGTCCATCACGTGGACACTCGAGGCCACCCGGGGGTCAACAGTGACGTCACAACCTATCAGCAATCACTTCCGTCTGGGCGGAGCGACCAGCGTACAAAGATCCGTGCAACTGCCGACCCCAAAATGCAAATTATTACCTTAGATCGTCATATTTGTAGTCTTAGCGCTACTGTAGGTATGGTATAAGTTAGGATTTGATCAGACGTACCTTTTAAGGGCTTGGGGTTCGGCTGTTTTCGGCGAGACATGGCGTCACTGTACCGCGGCAGACGACTGGTCCCTCTCTCGGTACCTCTGGCGAGCCCGTCGGCCAATGAAACACGAGGATGAATCCGCCGGCTGTTCTATTTGTACATGGGCATTATGTTGACGACTGGTTCTTTTATTGTGTTTAGAAAATGATAGCATTTCATGATATCAATACGTTCATGTGTACTCAAACACACTACATTATGTTGTGTACGCATAGTCGACTTTGCAAGTGTCTCGTTTTGTAAAGGGGCTCAGTATCGGTGGGTAGGACAAAACCTCTCACCCCTCTCCTGTGCAATGGTACATCTGACCCAGGTGCTCAGCTAGAAATGGGCTTATAGTCTTCCGCAAGGAGAAAGTAGTCCGCAATGGTCATTATATTCTAGTACACCAGTAGTTACGTCCGTAAGGCGGATGTGCCGCAGTGAAGCGGATGTTTGAATGTTTTCATCAGCGGCTGTGTCCGGTTTTACGTTGTTGCTGTCCTTGGATTGTGCACGTGGTAACTTGGGTGCATACAAGGTTTGTATAGAGGTATTATTGGGTGGGTGGATGCATATGGTTGATGTCAGAGGATTTTGCGTAATTCGTAATCACTCAGTATAATCGATCATTCGTAATCACTCAGTAACCCCCCATGCAGACCCTCATGCGATTCCAAAGTCACGTCATTTGTGGATCGGACATCCTTGCGGCTTTCCTTTGTACTACAGTGGGGTGAATGTGTGCCTGTCTGTCTGTCTGTAAATTGGGAAGCATTTGCAAAATATTTCCATGTGCCGATTGCAAAGGTGCCTTAACCACAAATTTAATGCCTGACATCCCAACCTACAACTTTACATACATCAAATTATCTCTAATTTCTTGAAGTGCTGAATGGGAATTTAAATAAAAATAGAACGGTCAGTGAGAGATCTTATGAACTCTGATGGTTGATTGCTGATGTATCTTTGTTTTGTTTGGGCGAATAAAGTTGCATTTTTATCAATATTGTGATTTGGACTGGATTCAATCATTGCGAGAAAAGTCATGATAAACTGTAAAAAACTGGACAGGGAATAAAATGTAGTTAATTGTCTGTAAAAATAAAACTACGAATAGATAAATCAATCTGTAAGCGGTAGCGTTAAAATAAGTCCTTGCTACTTGAGTGCGCTACCACTTTGAGTTGTAGCTTGTAGTCGTACTTTCCCCAATGTGGGAATGAATAAAATAGTCTTTTCTCAGAGAGTTTGGTTTATGAATAACATTCTCTGGCCGCCAAATGTTCATGGATGGCGTTCAGCACCAAGAGCAGGAACTTTTATCGTGCGTGGATGGCGTTCAGCACCAAGGAAAGGAACGTTTGGCTGCGTGTGGATGGCGTTCAGCACCAAGGACAGGAACGTTTGGTTGTGTGTAAATGCTGTTCAACATGCACTGTCTAGTACATTTATAAAAATCTTCTCCTTCCGAGAGAATGTTGAAGCGGAAAATCCTGCCTATGAGATGTCGCAGTTTCTGCTTTAACGTCACAAATAGAAGGAAAAGGAGGAGAAAATGCTCACATCCATCGAGAAATAATTACGTTATGAGTACAGCTGAGACCAACAGCTGGGAAGTACCCATAGGGCCATGCGAGCGCACGAAGTCCAAGATGGCGGCAGAACATGAAGCGGGGGGAACTTCTGGCAAAATTTCGTCCCTGGAAGACGACAAACGTCTGTTTTAGGTGGTGAGCAGTACATAACTTTGTCTCCTATGTCCTTGTGACTGTTTATGAACAAATTTTATTTCGAAAGACTCAGTAGTATCGCAGAAATTTGACTAGGTTTCTTCGGTACTGTGGCGTGGCATACACGAGGGCACACCGGATTTGCATAATAAGGCCACACGGATTTAACTGTATGGATGACATCCGCGCGCGCATTGCCATTTTCGACTGTTCTAAATCACGTCCTCCGAGGTTCTGGCCTGGGTGTTATCCTCCGTAGTCCATGGTAGCTTGAAGTTGTGACAGTAGGAGCCGGCGGTAACTACGGGGGATGGCACCCAGGCTGCTGACGCTCCATGGAACTCAAGAACTTACAGTGCATACTCAGCCAGCAAGTCGCTATGTAACGTTACATGTACTACTGCAAATTCACAATACCAGCTTTGTATTCCTGTGGTTTAGCAGCATTGAATGCGAATAGTCCAGTGACTGTGTCTTCATTAAGTATGAATTTAATTATTTTTTTTAGAAAGAATGAAACTAAAAGATCAATGTTATTTTTTAACAGCAACTTTTGACAGTGTATTGATAATGAAGGGTAACCATTGATGACACTATTTTTCTTCCCCTAATGCATGTAGGTTGTCTAGAGGGTCGGCTGTGCTTGTGGATATTTACCTGTCTCCACCAGGTGATACCTGTGATGTCAGGTGAAGGAACACAGTCAGATGAAGAGGTAAGAGGTATACAGGGCAGGTAAAAATAGCCTCTGACAGGTAAGTGACACATTATTCAGGTAAGGATAGCATTTGCATTGAATCTGTACAAACTTGTTCTTATGACTTTATTATTCCAGGAATGTTCTGCAAACAAGAGATGCAGGCCAGGCTTCTCACTAGATGAGGCATAGAAGGTGGCAGCTGACTGGTCCAGATGGAGGAACTACGTGGAGTTGGAGCTCCAAGCGCCATAAGGCACAGAATTCGAAGGTGGGTGAGTGAATATACTAGTAATATGTGCGCTGATTCATCATGGAGACTTTTCTGAATTAGTTTTTCCCTTACATTGCAGGTTTTTGGAAGTGAAAGCTGAGAACATGAGATGCAAGGCCAGGATTCTCACTCTAGACGAGACATCGAAGGTGGCAGCTGACTGCTCCAGATGGAGTAACTACGTGGAGTTGGAGCTACAAGCACCATAAGGCACAAAATTCGAAGATGGGTGAGTGAATATAAGATGTGTGCTGATTTTCATGGAGATTTTTCTGAATGAGCTTTTCTCTTACATTGCAGGTTTTTGGAAGTGACAGCTGCTGTTGGATTCCTGCCCTGTTCCTGGAGGATCTGGCATCAAAGGTGGCTGACTGGTCGAGATGGACGAACTACTTGGACTGTTGGAGTTGGAGCTCCAAGCGCCATGAGGCACAGAATTCAAAGGTGGGTGAGTGAATATAAGATGTGTGCTGATTTGTCATGGTGACTTTTCTGAAAAAGTTTTTCCCTTACATTGCAGGTTTTTGGAAGTGAAAGCTGAGAACATGAGATGCAAGGCCAGGATTCTCACTCTAGAGGAGACATCGAAGGTGGCGGCTGATTGGGAGTTGGAGCTCCAAGCACCATGAGGCACAGAATTCGAAGGTGGGTGAGTGAATATAATAATATGTGTGCTGATTTTTCATGGAGATTTTTCTGAATGACTTTTTCTCCTACATTGCAGGTTGTTGGAAGTGACAGCTGATACTGGATTCCTGTCCTTGTTCCTGGAGGATCTGCCCATGTTCCTGTTGGACCTGTCAGCTATCCTGTGTTCCTGTCCATGATTCCCGGAGGATACTGGTTTTGCGTTCCTGTCCAAAATTCCAGGAGGATCTGTCTGTGTTCTTGAGGGACCTGTCACCTTTCTACGAGACAAGAGAACATCGGACTTTGACTGTGAGTTTGCTGTTATTTAAAGAACTCTTTCAAACATGGAGTCTGCATGCCGCAATGCGTAAGCATTCGTTTTAGTTTTAGTTTCGCGTAATGCAAAGCCGGGTCATTCTATTTGCCATCAGTGTGAATTACATGTAACAGTTATGTATGTAACATTTTTATACATGGTCGTTGCCATTTGAAGTTTGCATAATTCGAAATCGAGCAACTCTGATTTAATGTCAAATCTAGATGTTAAACGTTCAGTCTAAAGAGTAAATCGTGGCTGCTGCCTTCCGGAATTCGCCGGAAAGCACGATCGGGAACTCCTATATGCATGCAGACCCCTAAAAATGACAATGAAACATGTTGGGAAAGGGCATGTTTGCGATCTTGTAAATTTTTAGTTCCAAACACTTTTGTTGAAACTGCAATTGGCCCTGCCTGGTATTTATTGTCATTTCTGAAAGAGTTCACATTTCTTTACTAACATCTAGTTTAAGGTTGTGACTAACATTTAATTGTAGATATGTTGGAGAATACAGTACATTTTCCTATTGAGGAGAGCACTTGTAGTATTGCCTGTTGTTTGGGATATATTTTCAAAAGTATTTTGTGATCAAACTTTCCCTGATATCCTCTTCATCGTGATCCACATCCACCCTTTTTAAAAACCATTTCTGAAATAAATGTCCTCTGTGTGAGGAAAAGAAAATCTAAAGGTAGAACAGTCGTTAAAGCAGCAATGTTTAAGGATGAATTATACCAATATTACTTTTATTATGTTGCGCTCAAAAATGGAAAACTAGATGGAATAAATTATAAAGAAAGACATTGTCATGCTGATCATCAATTTTAGTTTACCGGAACAAAGCAAGACATATTTGTGATGATTATGGATTTTAGCCACAATGCTTGTTTAATGTAATAATTTTGCACCGTGAAGATACGGATCCAAAATATTCAGAGCACTTATTGACTATTGTATTTCTTAACTGTTTTTTTACCAATTTGAAACAACTATAATTTGGCACATGTGACATAATACAAAATGTGATGAATGGTACTAAAATTTAAGATCATAATTTACGGGTACGTAAAATCAAAAAGTTTTAAAAGCTGTAAATTTAAGCCCCTTTTATTTAGTTTCAAAAACATAAGAAAAATGATGTCATAAACATACATGGCATTGAAAACAATTGTGTAATGACAAAGAACGTATTGAACAAAGTCCTTATAATCTTAAAGGAGTATTTCAGGCCAGAAGCAAGAGTTTATAATTCCTTAAGAGAATAAACTGTCAGAATCCCATTCAAGTTTGCAATGTGTTTGCAATAGGAATTATTTTTTATTTTTTTTTGTAAAAGCATACACCTCTAAAGTTGGACCTTGATTTACCCAAAAGTCAAGTACACATTTGTTCGTCTCTTGTTAAAATATGCCTGAAGTATAAGGTGTAACAAACTAGATGATTTACAAACACACAAGGAATTAATGTTAGACATTCCCAAAAAAATTTTTTTAAATAAGTGAGTAATACACATCGTAATCATTAAATTTTAAATTCAATTTTGTCCATGATGGAGTGGATTTTATGGAAAGTACTTTGATCACATATAATGATTGTTGGAAATATTAATTTTACATTAAATATTTAAATGTTCAACAGTGCTTTCCTTCTGTAGATTGAATGTACTACAGGTAAGCTGTGTGTTATTGTTTGAAAGGGGGAACAAGAGCTTTGATAAAACCTGTCATTACACCGTGCATGGTATGTCTGAAAAGTGATTCCCTACCCTTAGGCCACACCAATTAAATTTGTTGCCTCTCGGATCGCCCTGTCCATTTTTTCGGTTCTAGTAAATCAACTACAAAATGCTCAATGAAAGACATATTTTGGCCCCAATGGTTGAAGACAGTCCTTTTCTTCCTAGTTCTTAAAGTTTTTCAATGTAACAATGCAATTTTTTATTTCATTAAAAGTTAAAAATCTATTGTTTTAATTATAAACCAGCCTGGTATGTTGACTTCATGGCTCATATCGTAACATTTCCGGCTATCCGGGGTGCCTTGCCTGTTTTATTTTTATTTTGACCTGTCGCTCCATATTTTTTCTGAAAAAATCTGAGAAACAACAAATCAAATTAGTGTGGCTTTAGCTCACTAGTCCATCTTGTTTAGAGTGCTACTGTCATTTGAAGTAATGCGGCTAGCACCTAGCGTCAACAAATTGGCTGCCATCATTTTTCTGCTCCCTGCCTTTGTGAGAACGTAACTGCAAAGTTGTGGTTACGTCATCACAAAGGCAGGGAGCAGAAAAATGACAGCGGCCAATTTGTTGACGCTAGGTGCTAGCCGCAACTTCAAACGGTCAGTAGCGCTCTAAACAAGATGGACAACTCAGAACTAAGTGTACATATAGGAAATCACTTTTCAGACATATAACCATGCAATGATATGATAGGCCCAGTTTACACGTGCATCAGTTATGTGTCAGGTGTGGAACGACGCGCACATGCGCAGCGCTGCACTGCACTGCGCGTTTTGTGTGACAGATTTTAGCGTGTAAACAACCCGCGTGGCACGGGTTGTTTACTCGCTTAAAAAATCTGTTGCACAAAACGCGCATGTGCGCGTCGTTCCACACCGTTCCATACCTGACACATATAAACGATGCACGTGTAAACTGGGCCATGGTTTTATTGAAGCTCTTGTTCCCCTTTAAGGAATCAGCAAAACAAATCAAAGTACATCTAGAATAATAAATATTGCTTTTGGCAAGGGCTTTATTTACTCTGAAATTGCTGCTTAGCTTAAACATTGTTATGGAAGGAAATAAGGGGTGTAAATTGTTTTGCTGATTCCTTTTTGAGTCAATTTCCCCCCAAAAAGGGAAGTACTTGGGACCCTCACCTGTCTAATTAATTGGATTAAAATTTTCCCGCCAAAA